CAACAGAAAACTATGTTAAAATGTAGACAACTGATCTCTAAGTTATCCGCTTTTTAAGAACTGGTTTATCATATTTTCTCAAAATAAAACCAGAACTACCCCCTCCATTCTTGCTTTAAAGAGTTATTAGTAAAAGTTGATGAGATCATCTAAACAAAAATAATCTGATGATTAAAAAGTGGAGTGGAAACAACACTGGCCTGATGGTCTCAGGGATGTCATTCTTTTTTTAAATTTTTAAGTTAATTCTAGTACAGTTAACATACAGTGTTACATTAGTTTCAGGTATACAGTATAGTGATTTAACACTTCCACATATCACCCAGTGCTCATCACAAGTGCCCTTCTTAATCCCCATCATCTGTTCACCCATCCCCCACCCACCTCCCCTCTGGTAACTCTAGTGTGTTCTCTAGAGTTAAAAGTCTGTTTCTTCGTTTGTCTCTCTCTCTCTCTCTCTCTTTTTTGACTCTGCTCATTTGTTTTGTTTCTTAAATTTCACTTTCTTTCAATGACTTATTTCACTTGGCATTATACTCTATATCCATCCACATTGTTGCAAGTGGCAAAATTTCATTCTTTTTATGGCTGAATAATATTCCATTGTACCTCCCTCCTTCCCTCCCTCCTTCTCTCTTTTTCTTTCTCTCTCTCAAGGCCTCATTCTTGAAGGGCTTCCTAGAAACTGAATTTAGATTTTTACCCTGAGGGTAGGAGAGAGGTGCTTAGGTATCTGAAGTAGAAACATGAGCATGACTACAATGTGGGGGATAGACTGCTGCCATGAGAGCCTGAGGCAGGAATGAAGGGGTGAGACAACTGTCTAGGCAAGAAATAATGAGGGCCTTGAGGTCAGCTCTGCTGCTCCTTTGCTATTAGCTACTGAGGCAAAGGCATGGTGTGTGACAGCATAAAGTTCTGAGGACATCTTCTAAAAGTGGTGCCTTAGGAAGGAAAAAAAGACTGTTTTTGCCACCTGGATGACCTCAGGTGAAATTAAGAAGATATATTTGCTAAGCATTTACTAAGTACCAAGCACCTCTCAGAGATGGTTTTAAAGACAATTTATAATTTACTCAATCTTTTCATATCTTACTTTATTCCTCTGTGAAAGAAGAGTAATGCCTAACTCATGTGCTCTTTTGAGGATTAAAAGTGAGGTCATACACATGAAAAGGCTTTTTAATCTTACACATTTAAAAATATTAATTTTCTAATTAACATGACTTCTAATTTTTTTTCTAAATCTGGCAATGCTATGAGTATTTTCTTTTTGGTCCCCATCTATTAGAGACTCTACAAATTGCTAAAGAAAGTTGTTAACTACTGATTTTTGCATGGTAAGACACAAAACATCAACACCATGAGGATTCTTTCATCTACTAGAACACTGCAAATATGAGGCCAGCTGTCTAGAAAAATCACTGTTTCAGGGACACTAGCTTATCTGATTATACTTCTACTTTACTTTTTTGCTAAGAAGCAAATCCAGTACATGCCTTCATACTTTCAACATAAAGCATTAGGAAGAACTTCCCACCGTCTTCCATAAAAACTAGAAGCTTTACGGCCACTCTGAAGGAACTCTATGGGCACTAGGGCAAGCAGAGTTTCTTTTCTTTTTTTTAACTTTTTAAAACTTATTTATTCATGAGAGACACACAGAGAGAGGCAGAGATACAGGCAGAGGGAGTAGCAGGCTCCATGCAGGGAGCCCGACGCGGGACTCTATCCCGGGTCTCCAGGATCACACCCCGGCTGCAGGCAGCTCTAAACCCCTGAGCCACCAGAGCTGCCTGCAAGCAGAGTTTCTATTCAAACTATTAAAAATGGTGATGAGCAACCATGTGAATAGCAGGTTGTAATCACTAAATGTCAGCCAATATACATTAGCACAAAGCGAAAGCAACAACATAAAAAAAGTAAGGTTTATTTTAGGTTCAAGGGAGCTAATTTTCTAGTAAATAAAAGAAAACTCAATTAACCTATCAAAGGCATGAAAAAAGTAGAAGTATAAAAATTTAAGTTTTTAATTCTTTTCAAGTATGATTTAACTTTATGAGAAATGAAAGTAAAACTTGAGCAACAAATCAAAAGATGAAAAGAAATGCAATGTGTAGACCTTTGTTGGATCATTATTCAAACAAAGCAAATACAAAATTACATTTTGGGAGAATTGGCATAATTTGAATATGGGCTGGGTATTAGATGATCATATGGAATTCTCATTAGCTTTTTTAGGTGTGATGACACTATTATGGTTATGTAAAACAATGTCCTCAATTTATAGAGAAGCATACTGAAATATTTAGGGACTGAGATGCCATGATTTATGTTATCTGCTTTAAAATACTTAAACAACAACTGGGGAACCTGCGTGGTGCAGACAGTTAAGCATCCGACTCAGAGTCATCATCTCAGGCTTGTGAGACTGAGTCCCATGTCAGGTGCCCCCTCGAGTGCCACACTGTGCTCCACGTTCAGCACGGAATCTGCTTAAGACTTCATCTCCCTCTGCCCCTCCCTCTCTTGAGTGTACTGTCTCTCTCCTCTTTCAAATAAATAAATAAATCTTTTAAAAAAGATACTCTGACAATAAAAACAACATTGATGAGACAAATCACAAAATGCTAGCAAGTGATGGGGGTATAGTACACTATTCTTCCCTAATCTTCTATACATATTTAAATTTTTCTTTATTAAATATTTAAAAATAGAAAGAAAACCTGATAAAGTACCCAGGCCATCCACTGAGTTGTATTAAGGTTGCCTGAGTTAAGGAAGGAAATGGCCCAAACTAAGTATGTTTTTTTTTAGGTTAGGAAGACACCTTGAGGAAGTCTTTCATATGATCTTTGTGGGACAAATTGTAGAATGTGCACAGATGAGTACTTCTCTCACATTTTACTGGCAAGCTACCCAAATTCCCTGGACGGAGCTGCAGTAGGGATGGGAGAAGGGGACCTGCAAGGCAGTGCAGAACTGCCTGAGGCCACTGTAGAAGCAGGCAACACCAGTGACCTGCACTCTCTGACCTAGACCACAACTACTATGGGAACCAATGAGCTCATTACATAACAAAAAAAATCAAAAGGAAGGTGACTTTCAGGATCCTTCATTTACAGAGTTTTTACAAAGTCTCCCATACTGTGGGCAACTCTTTCAATTGTTAGTTTGAACAACAAAGTTCCATGTTGAATAAAAGACCTCAATTATTTTTTTTACCTCAATTATTGCAAATTTTAGATGCTTACGGAGTTCACTGCCAAAAAGCCTTTAAAAAGGAGAAAAAAATGATAATGTGGTAATCATTCCCAGGGGTATGAGCTCAAAGCGCAAGCATTGGTTGTGACTATAAATGAGCCCTTAATTTTAAATGTCACTGTTTAACAAAGCAGTCTGGCAAGGGGTTACTTTGTAGAGATGTAGACGTTTTCACCTTGCAGAAGTATGGAAACATGTATTAGGAATACAATTTTTAGAAATGGTATCATATAAGGATCAAAAAGGAGCTTGTATCAAAAACAGCTTAGTTGACGTAAAGATCTATCAGGTAACTTATAATGTTGAAAACTGACATGAAGAGTGTGAATAAACAGTGTTTCCTGAAATAGAACAGGCACATTTCTTCAGACAGTGAGAGTGCTCCCAAGGTGGGATAACTAGCTTGGAAAGGGTAAAACCGGTGGGTTAAGGACCTGTAGGGTAAGGCTAGTGTGTAATAAACATCCCTGAGTATTTGAAAAGTAGTCAAGTGGAAGACTGAGTTGATTTACTATGTATTTTTAAAGAGCATAAGTCAAATGAATGAATGGAAATTATAGGGAGGCAGGTGTTTGCTTAACATATGCAAGTATATTTATATACTTAAAACAGGTAGGTCAGTCCAAGATTGAATTTGAAAAGTTATGTGTAAGTAAAGGATTTCTCAGAAAAAAAAAAAAGTAAAGGCTTTCTGATCAACTACAAGGAAGGAAATTGAGGTAAATTGCCTTTATGGACATTTTAATGATCAGATTCTATTATTTTATTATATCATTTCCAAGCTGGAAACAAGTTTTAAGTTAATAAATGTATTTATTTTTGAAGATATTAATTTATTACATATTTTTTAAAATGGTCACTCTCTATATATCATTATCCTAAGTTCCCTGGGTGATAAAACATATATAAAAATGATGATTTTCCAAAGTTTATGACTAAGAAAGGAGATATACACATGTATAACGCATACCGTGCATGTATACATGTTAACATGTGCCAAAAGATGTATAAAATACTGTTCCTGAGTTGGGGCTTTGTCACAAGATTAAAGTGGATATGTAATAAGGGTATGATCCAGTTAAATTTCTCATCTTCTTTTCTAAGGAATCTCTGAAGCGCCCTGTCTCTAGTCCAGGCTATCTGCCCATCCAAGAGTAAACTGATTCATCCATAGTGACGATATCAGTCAAATATTTTGGCTTTGTTCTGAAGCCTCTCTTGGCTTGGAATCAGGAGACTGAACACTGTCTTCCAATTTCCGAGCTAGTTCTCTCAAATCTTCTCAAAAGCTATTATTCAAAGAATGAACAATGGGAGTTATCTAACAGGTCTTCCAAATGCAATACCCAGTAAAGCAACATTGGCATTATGCAAAACCACTGGTTCCTAAATTCTATGTTTGATTACCAGAAGATTATTCAACAGTATGAATTTAGCAGTTTGAATGCAATTCAGTACAGAAAAACAATTTCAGACTTACAAGTACTAATGAGATAGTACGATTCGATACATGAAGCAAGAATAGTGGAGGAAAAGGTAAAAATACTATTGCATTATGATGACATTTAAAGATATGAATACAGGGTAAACAGGAAAATAAATCATCGCATCTAACGAAGTAGCTCTTAAACCATTTAAAAAGAATCACAAACAGGAGCTACCTAAACTTTCATCCAAATTTTTCCCCAAATAATTTGAAAAGATAAGTTTTCTTGGTTCTAATCTGAGAAGCTGACCTGAGATTGTTGGAAAAGGATACTCTTCTCTGGGTTAATGCCACAGGCGAGAAGAACAGCAGTCATGTCCAAGATGCTCTGCCGAAGGACGGCCGGGTCCTGGGGGACAGTGATGGAGTGTAGGTCAACAATGCTGTACAGCACCGAGCCATGCTCTTCCTGTAATTTCACCCAGGTCTCAATGGCTCCCAGGTAATTGCCAAGGTGGGGTATTCCTGTAGGCTGAATGCCAGAGAATACTCGCTTCACAGCATCTTTCTGGAATAGAGGAAAACAAGCATTTGCTTTCAAGGCAGAATCTATGAATCCTGTGCCCATGTTACCATAGCAATGATGACGAGTTCTATTTTTTACGACTGCAATCTGACAGTCATTATCCTGATGCATTTATTTTGTGCCTGTGCAAAGCACTGTTAGGTGCTATTAGGGACAGGAAAGAAAACTTAAAATGTGGTTGGAATTCTTTGTACACTCAAAAATGTACAAATACAAAGGCACAGAAGAAAAAGGCACATCTCCAAGAGATGCAATCTAATTGGAAATAGAGGATAGGTTTACAAAGAGATAACGTAACAGTACAATGTGGCAATACTGTTTTTTTAATAATAAATTTATTTTTTATTGGTGTTCAATTTGCCAACATACAGAATAACACCCAATGCTCATCCCGTCAAGTGTCCCCCTCAGTGCCCGTCACCCATTCACCCCCACCCCCCGCCCTCCTCCCCTTCCACCACCCCTAGTTCGTTTCCCAGAGTTAGGAGTCTTCATGTTCTGTCTCCCTTTCTGATATTTCCCACACATTTCTTCTCCCTTCCCTTATATTCCCTTTCACTATTATTTATATTCCCCAAATGAATGAGACCATATAATGTTTGTCCTTCTCCAATTGACTTACTTCACTCAGCATAATACCCTCCAGTTCCATCCACGTTGAAGCAAATGGTGGGTATTTGTCGTTTCTAATGGCTGAGGAATATTCCATTGTATACATAAACCACATCTTCTTTATCCATTCATCTTTCAATGGGCACCGAGGCTCCTTCCACAGTTTGGCTATTGTGGACATTGCTGCTAGAAACATCGGTGTGCAGGTGTCCCGGCGTTTCATTGCATCTGTATCTTTGGGGTAAATCCCCAACAGTGCAATTGCTGGGTCGTAGGACAGATCTATTTTTAACTCTTTGAGGAACCTCCACACAGTTTTCCAGAGTGGCTGCACCAGTTCACATTCCCACCAACAGTGCAAGAGGGTTCCCTTTTCTCCGCATCCTCTCCAACATTTGTGGTTTCCTGCCTTGTTAATTTTCCCCATTCTCACTGGTGTGAGGTGGTATCTCATTGTGGTTTTGATTTGTATTTCCCTGATGGCAAGTGATGCACAGCATTTTCTCATGTGCGTGTTGGCCATGTCTATGTCTTCCTCTGTGAGATTTCTCTTCATGTCTTTTGCCCATTTCATGATTGGATTGTTTCTTTGGTGTTGAGTTGAATAAGTTCTTTATAGATCTTGGAAACTAGCCCTTTATCTGATACGTCATTTGCAAATATCTTCTCCCAATCTGCAGGTTGTCTTTTAGTTTAGTTGACTGTATCCTTTGCTGTGCAAAAGCTTCTTATCTTGATGAAGTCCCAATAGTTCATTTTTGCTTTTGTTTCTTTTGCCTTCAGGGATGTATCTTGCAAGAAGTTACTGTGGCCGAGTTCAAAAAGGGTGTTGCCTGTGTTCTCCTCTAGGATTTTGATGGAATCTTGTCTCACATTTAGATCTTTCATCCATTTTTTAAAAATTTTTATTTATTTATGATAGTCACACAGAGAGAGAGAGAGAGAGGCAGAGACACAGGCAGAGGGAGAAGCAGGCTCCATGCACTGGGAGCCCGAAGTGGGATTCCATCCCGGGTCTCCAGGATCACGCCCTGGGCCAAAGGCAGGCGCCAAACCGCTGCGCCACCCAGGGATCCCCTTTCATCCATTTTGAGTTTATCTTTGTGTATGGTGCAAGAGAGTGGTCTAGTTTCATTCTTCTGCATGTGGATGTCCAATTTTCCCAGCACCATTTTTTGAAGAGACTGTCTTTCTTCCAGTGGATAGTCTTTCCTCCTTTATCGAATATTAGTTGACCATAAAGTTGAGGGTCCACTTCTGGATTCTCTATTCTGTTCCATTGATCTATGTGTCTGTTTTTGTGCCAGTACCACACTGTCTTGATGACCACAGCTTTGTAGTACAACCTGAAATCTGGCATTGTGATGCCCCCAGCTATGGTTTTCTTTTTTAAAATTCCCCTGGCTATTCCAATGTGGCAATACTGTTACTGTCATAATCAGTTTGCAAACATAAATAGTGGAGTACAGACAGAGTTCCCAAGAGGAAAAGATAACTGTGGATCTGGGGGTCAGTGAGAAAGAGTTCAGACGCAGAATTGAATTTCTCTGGAGAGTAAAGGGGCGTCAAGGCTTTTTCATTCATTTTTGTAGGTAAGGCAAGGAAGTCATAGCATTAGAGATGAAGGGTACTGCTATTTACTTAACTCAGTTTTCTCTAAATATAATTGATGATATTACAACTTAGTGTGCAGGATCTTGGACTAGAAATCAGAAAACTTATACACTATTTATAATATTACTTCTTGATAAAGTTATTTAACTTTATGTACTTCAGTTTCCTTTTACTTTTGATAAAATCATACTGTATTTCTTCACATGGAGTTTTTAATCCTTTTTTTGGAGTTTTTAATCCTATATAATTTTTTAAATTATAAAAACATTTTTATTATGGGCATGTTTTCCCACTGGTTTGCACTTTCTTTTTTTTAATTTTTAAAGATTTTATTTATTTATTTGAAAGAGAGAGCAGAGAGGTATTTTGAGTGGGGGGAAGGGGCAGGAGGTGGGGGGGGTGGGGGACAGAGGGAGGAGGGAGGAGCAGAGGAAGGAGCAGAGAGCCCCACGTGAGATCATGGGGATGGGATCATGACCTGAGCAAAAGGCAGATGCTTAACCAACTGAGCCACCAATTTGCCCCTGATTTGCACTTTTTTAAAAAATATATATTTTTAAATTTATTTATTCATGAGAGAGACAGAGAGAGAGGCAGAGACATAGGCAGAGAGAGAAGCAGGCTCCATGCAGGGAGCCCGATGTGAGACTCGATCCCAGTACTTCTGGATCACGCCCTGAGCCAAAGGCAGGTGCTCAACCGCTGAGCCACCCAGGATCCCCTAGTTTGTCCTTTCTAATATTGAAGTTTTAACAGGAAACTGAGAAGGAAAAAAGTAATACAGGATGAAAAAAAATGCTATTGTTTTCTTGAATAATTTTTTATTCTGTAATGAAACATAATGAATATACGTCAGTAAATGTGCTGTCATTAAAAGGTTCTGAAGAAATAAAATGTGTCATTATCATTTTTAACAACAACAACAAAATATTTATCATGGCAGCCATAATTTCCCGAACAACTATGTTGCATGCATTTATGTTCATTATGCTTGATATACATTAGTGCAATTAGTCCTTACAATATCTAATATGGTAGGCATTTTATTACCTCTAATTTGCAGATGAGATAATTGAGGCTTACAATCTTTAGAGATTGCCCACAGTCCTACAGCTAGTAAGTGATAAAGCTGGGATATCAAACCAGGTATTACTTACTTCAAAGCCCATATATGTTCTTTCCACTAGCTACTATCCAGTAAGGCTTGCTCACAATCATTGCATTAATTTTGCAACTTTTCTGTAGGCTTGCAAATTTCCAAATAAATAAGTTATGGAGAAAAAAAAGAGCATTCTTATACATGTATCTTTGTGTTGTGCGTGCCAATTTCTTCTAGTACATATGCTGGGTCATAAGGTATGCATTTTGTATCTTCAAGTGTACTACAGTAAGCTAAATCACTCCTAAGTATGGAACATACTGCAGTTTCTACCATCAATTTCTTTTGGTCCTCATCCTCATCAACACTGCCAGTACTTTTACTGGCTAATATGATGCATAAGAAGTAGAATCTCATCATGGTTAATTGCATTTCTTCGATTATTAAAGTTGAGAACTTTTGTGGTTATTGGCTATTTTTATTTCTTCTTCTGTGGGGGGGGCCTACTGAAGTTATTTTGCCTATTTTTCTCAAGTTGGATTATCTTTTTATTGATTTAGGTATTTTTATATATCCTGGATACTAATATTTTATCAATTACATGTATGACCAATATATTCTCTCATTGCATAGCTATTTGTCTTCTTTATGTTATCTTTTGACAAAGAGACATTCTTAATTTCACCAAATATATAATTTTTGACTACAGATGTTTTAGTGGCATAGAAGAAATTTTTTAATACCTTGAGGTCATGGAGATATGAGTGTATTTGCCTATATACATACATAAAGCATATATATATGCACATGTGAGTATGCTTTAAAGTTTTTCCTTTTAAGTCTGTATCCACTTGGAGTTCTTTGCATACGGTGTAAGGTAGGCATCCAATTCCTTTTCTTTCTTTCCCCCATATGAGGATATCAGATCGTTCCAGTACCATTTATGGAAAAAGTTGGCTTTGATCATTACTCTGGAATGCCACTTCTGTCACAAATCAAGCATCTTGCCTCTTTATACTTGTGTCTATATCTGGTCTTTCTATTCTTTCCCATCTGTTTATGTGTCTGTCTCTGATCAGTACCATAGTACCTTTTTAGTAAGTCTTGGGACGTAGTGAACCAAGTCTTTTTACCTTCATCTTCAAGAATTAGCTTACCCGGGGGTGCCTGGGTGGCTCAGTGGGTGAGTGTCTGCCTTTGGCTGAGGGCGTGATCCCGGGGTCCTGGGATTGAGTCCCGCATCAGGCTGCCCATGGGGAGCTTGCTTCTCCCTCTGCCTCTGCTTTCTCCGTGCTTCTCATAAATAAATAAAATCTTTAATGAAAAAAAAAAAGAATTTGCTTACCCATCCTTGGCTTTTTATACTTCCCTATACATTTTAGAATCACCTTGAAAAGTTCTTTTTTTTTTTTTTAAGATTTCATTTATTTATTCATAAGAGACACAGAGAGAGAGGCAGAGCCACAGGCAGAGGGAGAAGCAGGCTCCATGCAGGGAGCCTGATGTGGGACTCGATCCCAGGACTCCAGGATCACGCCTTGGGCCAAAGACAGACGCTCCACCGCTGAGCCACCCAGGCATCCCACTTTGAAGAGTTCTAAGAGAAAAAAAAAAACACTTTGGGGTTTTCAACTGAGATTGCATTGAGTCTATAGAT